CAAAACCCCGAAGTAAATAAAAAATTTGGCTCTACAATAGAAACCAGCCTCTTCACTGAGGCTATCAGACATTCTGGCAGCTTTAGCTAGTGCTCTTTTTTGCTAATCTGATCTCAAGGAAACCATTAATACTGCTTTATAGAATGCCCAGAGGGTACTTTAGGAAGGTGCCTCATGAATTTCTGGGCAAGAAGACAATGGTGCGTATGAGTGTGAAGCTGGATTTGTTTCATGATCATGAGCTGTGAAGGTAATAAAAAAGTCACCTCCTGGGAACCATAATAATTTATTTCAAAGCACAAGATAAAACACTCCAATAAAATCACAAGAACCCCACAGTGTGCCAAATAACAGAATTCGAACACTTGGCTTATCAGCCTGACTGACTGAACTCTATAACGCTTCATATTTTGCTCTACAGTCTATTATTTTATAATGCTGAATGACAGGTGATTGTGGGGAAGTGCAAAGACCCTGATCCTTTTTCTGCTTCCACTCTGGAAGTTTTGTATTTAGATGGGGCATGGTGAATAGAGCACTACTGGTGCGATATATCCTGTGACATCATGGCAGTAAATATGATGTCAGAGTAGACAATTGTCCTTGGCAACCGCACTGTTGAGTGCTGCCACCTGGCTGAAGAAGAGGTATGGAAATGATTATATGGAATCAGGACTCACAATACAGTGGTACCTCGGTTTAAGTACTTAATTCGTTCCGGAGGTACGTACTTAACCTGAAACTGTTCTTAACCTGAAGCACCACTTTAGCTAATGGGGCCTCCCGCTGCTGCCGCGCCGCCGGAGCACGATTTCTGTTCTCATCCTGAAGCAAAGTTCTTAACCTGAAGCACTATTTCTGGGTTAGCGGAGTCTGTAACCTGAAGCATATGTAACCTGAAGCATATGTAACCCGAGGTACCACTGTACTTGATTTTTATAATACCTGGGATGCCTTTGGATTATGGTGGGTGCCATTATATTGGTATAGCCTTTGCATTTGATATATAACAGAAACTTGTTCAAATGGCACAACGTCCACGGTGTACTACTTACTGAGATGGTAAACTTGTATCTTGACTAATAAATTCAGGCTGTAGATGACACTCGTGTGACTGAATGTCATCACATAGTAAAATTCCCTTGACACAGAAGACTAGATGTAAAGGAGAAGGACCACTGGGCTGATTCAGCAGGGCTTTTTCTATCTTAGAACTGGAAGAGACCCAAGGGTCATCTGGTCCAATGCATCCATGACAAATGGCCATCCACCCTCTACTTAAAAACCTCCAAGGAAGGAGAGTCCACAACCTCCCAAGGGAGACTCATGTGGGAGAGCCAGTGTGGTGTAGTGGTTAAGAGCGGCAGACTTGTAATCTGGTGAACCGGGTTCGTGCCTCCGCTCCTCCACATGCAGCTGCTGGGTGACCTTGGGCTAGTCATACATCTCTGAAGTCTCTCAGCCTTACTCACCTCACAGAGTGTTTCTTATGGGGCAGGAAAGGAAAGGAAAGTAAAATGTTAGCCGCTTTGAGACTCCTTAGGGTAGCGGGATATCAAATCCGAACTCCTCCTCCTCCTCTTCTTCTTCTTCTTTAATTGTGTGTTGCTTTATTTTAAAAAAAACAATTGAATAAGAGTTTGGACACAAGCAAGGAGTCACAATCAGTAAGTTCTAGATACATTTATTTGTTCAAGTCTTTACCTTTTATCGCTGTTCAGACATGAATATATCATGTTTAGCATCTCTTAACACAAACTTTCTTGACAATTGTCAATTGAACATTATCAGATGAGCAGAACAATCAGTTCACTTTTGGCCTTGAATGTTAATTGACCATCCAATAACCTTTACATAAAGCTCCGACCCTGAAAATTACAGTTATATATACCTAAATTACACATCCATTCCCCTTTCTAAAGAGGACTAACTTCAACCATCTCTGACCCTTGATTATGTAGGACAAGGAGAAGCACGTAGTTAAACAATGCCATTCTTAATAGCGTGTAACACATAATGCTCTGTCAGTGATCCAGCCATCATCACCTCCACTTTCTGAAAGGGGCTGATTCAGGAAGTAGTAGAAATAAAGGTGCTATGCACATTCATAGCACATGTACAAAAGCAAAAGACTGATGCTAAAGGGAAGAAATCCAGTTCTTACTCAGATTCCATAACAACGTGCAAAACATTTTGCTGATACATAAGTAGTTTTGATAACAAAGCGAAAACTTACGGGCCATTTTTGGAATTAAAAAAGAGCTTCCCAAGATATTCTGTTTTGTTTTGCCCTGCAGCATAATATGATGCATAAAATCCCGAGTTTATAATATTGCCATGAAATAGTCTAGGGAGGGAAAACACTGCCAAAAACAAACCGGGGGAGGGGGGAGTTTTCATTTTATTTTGCTGTGCTGCTAATGCTCGCCAGATGAAAATGAAATGAACCCCCAAAAGTGCAACATTTGTAGATCTGGGTGGAATACTGCCATTTGAGGAATTATTAATGAGAGATTTTATGTGTGTTGAAGGAATTAATACTCCACTTTGAGAGCAAAACACACAGCAACTCTAAACATTTTGCTACTTGAGCACCTCCATAACAGAGTTTAATTCTGTTGTTTGTTGCAGTTTTATGGAGCCCTAAGGGTACTTGTGTTGGTACTGCGGAATATCTGTTTGTACACATATGGCGGGGTGGACCTGTAGTACTTTCACATATCTGCATTATCAGCCAAACACGAAGCAGCTTTGAGCGGATTTGATGCCTTCTGCAATCGCTTCTCCCTTGGTAAACATTCAGTATCCACCTAATCAAGCTGGAGCTTTTTCATCCAAACGTGCGGGAAAGCTGCTTCTCTTCACTATAGGGTGTTTCAGAGAACATTAAAATAAAATAAAAAGCAGCTCTGTTTTTAGCAAGATGATGCAGCCCTACACAACATGTGGTCCATGAAGACAAGTGCAGCAAACCAGCTATTTGTTATGGGCCAGGTTGTTGACAACACCACACCACCCCGATTTTTGCATCTTTGTGCATTGCAAGTTGTATGGATAAAGGTGGTCCTCGTCAATTCCGCCACCATTTTCCTCTGAACTAATACTAGAATCATTGCAGCGCGGTTCCCTCGTTTAATAAACAAGTTAACTGCTTTGATAGCAGTCTTTATCCATCCCATTCTTTTCTTGGAACTGTTAGCGTGAAAAAACAATAATAGCACTGGGTTAAGAGTGTCAGCTATCTCCCAGTGGGGTACACAGAGCCAGGCTCCAGCTATATCACTGTGCAAATATGCAGTTGTTCCGAAGATAATACTCAACCGTTTCTGAAAAACCAAAAAAGCTCATCCAAATGTCCACAGCATTTATATCACATATTAAACAGATGGAAGATGGGCAGTTGAGGATGGAAGACAGCAATTCTCTGCCTTGAGTCAGTCTAGAGCAGTGTTTCTCAAACTTGGATATCCAGCTGTTTCTGGACTACAACTCCCATCATCCCTAGCTAGCAGGACCAGTGGTCAGGGATGATGGGAATTGTAGTCCAAAAACAGCTGGAGACCCAAGTTTGGGAAACTCTGGTCTAGAACATGGTGATTTCTTCATCTATTAAGGGCATGTGAGAAATCATCTATAAGTGGAAGTGCATATGCCTTTCGTATTTTTTGAGCTGTATGAATTATAATTCTTGACACTAGTTCTTTAGGGTATCTCAAAGTTTTTTTCTCTAGCCATCACACCTAGGAATTTTATTTTTCTTCTGTTGTAGCTGTAATGGACATTTTCAGTTTATAAAAGTTTGTGGACTCCAACAAAGTAGTTTGGTGGGCTAGGGGACAGGGAGAGTTATATTTATCCTATGTGCCCACTCCTCTGTTTAACCAGATGTCTTGTATTACATATTTTCTATGGGGAGAGATCCTTGTAAATTCATGGTTGGAAAAGTAGCCAAAACTGAAGGAGAAAGGAAGCACATGTTTTTAAATAACATGCATTTGAGAACTTTTGAGCCTGAAAAATGCAACATTGGCTCAGGAGTGGCCTTGAATGTATAAATACCAATAGGTATGTTGAAAGGATATTAAGTTGCACAAAGTTTTAAGATGCTTTGATACCGCTGAAAGGAACCAAAATTAAAATTGCATGAAAGAACATGTGCATTGTGTTACACAAGAAACTATGTTCTCTGGCGCTTTAAGAACTAAGGTTGCAATTCTACACACACGTGCATTGCACTAATCCCCTCATTTTACTCAATGGGACTTACTTCTGAATAGACATGCAAGGAATTGTGATGTAAGAATGTTACTGTGAAATCGACTTCTGTATGCCAGTGCAAGTTTGGCAAGTTCAGGAAGTGATCACTCCAGTTGGCAGGTAGGTAAATGGGTACAGAGTGTGTTTGGGTGGGGGCTGGGGCTATACAGTGATGTAAGAAGGATCAAGAAAACTTGGCATTGAACATTTCTCATGTTAGATATTCTATATTGTAGACACCGGAGCACCAAAGTGACTCTTATGTACCGTATTTTTCGTTCTATAGGACACACTTTTTCCCCTCCAAAAATTAAGGGGTAATGTGTGTGCGTCCTATGGAGCGAATACAGGCTCCTTGGCTTCAGCGATAGCAACGCAAAGCCTCTGAAGTGCAGAGGGAGTGCTCGCTCCGGAGGCTTCATGTTGCTTTCGCTAAAACCCGGAGAGCGAGAAGCGTCGGTGCGCACCAACCCCTCTCGCTCTCCAGGCTTCAGGGATAGCCGCCTGAAGCCTTCGGAACACAGCGCGAGTTCCCGCTGCTGGAGGCTTCAGGTTCCTTTCGCTGAAGCCAGGAGAGTCTTGCTGTCCTGGCTTCAGCAAAAGGAACCCGAAGCCTGAGGAGCGCAGTGGGAACTTGCGCTGCGCTCGGAAGGCTTCAGGGATAGCCGCGCACAGTCCCTCTGGCAGGGAGAGGCTGCACGCGGCTATGGCTTCTTTAGCCCTGCGCAGCCTCTGCCTGCCAGAGGGGTTGCGCGCAGCTATGGCACAAGCCAAGAAAGCGAGCGGGATGGATCCCGCTCGCTGTCTTGGCTTGTGTCATAGCCACTCGCAGCCCCTCCAGCCAGGAGAGGTTGCGCGCCGCTAAAGAAGCCAAGACAGCGAGCGGGATCCATCCAGTCCCAGCAGCTCTGGGAGAAGTAGACAGGTTGTGTGCAGCCTCTACGCTGCGCTTTGTGGCGGGGTGGGGGGGGAATAAGATTTTTTTTCTTGATTTCCCCCTCTAAAAACTAGGTACATCCTATGGTCCGGTGCGCCTTATGGAGCAAAAAATACGGTAAATGTGCTCTGACAGTTCATAGGATTTGACATAGCATTTCCAGTATTTATTTAGATCCCTTTTTAACTGAAACCCTCAGAATCCTACTAGTCAAACCACAGACTTCCCATGTTTCTCTTAACGGAGCTGAACCAAAGCAAGTTCTGGCACAAGAGTGCCAACATCTATACCAAATCACTACACCGCATTCTTTCTTGACCTTTCCATCAAGTTGCCAAACAAAGTTGCGCATTGTTCTGCTGAACAAGCGGGCGTGTAACTTAATCTGTCGATTTAGATCTGCTTTATCTGCGGAGGCGTTTATCAGTTCCTTCCATCTTTTTGAATTCCTAGCGCGGTTTCTTCTTCTTCTTCACATAAGTAACTGAACAGTTATCACATGATTGTGCCTTTTAGTTACGGTCGAACCACTTCAAATTATTGCTCCGGGCGTGAAAGGCTACATATCATGGCGTGAATGCTCCAATTCATCAAGTTTCTCTTCCCTGCTGCTTCCCTCTCCACCCCACCCCGACTTCCGCCTGTTGGAATTATTTTAATATATATATATTTCAGTGAGAAAGCTCCTCTCCCTTCTGGATACAGCTGATGCGATTTCCCATAAGCTGTTATGCATGACAGAAACCATATGCTGAATCCTTGTCCTGGCTGCCTGCGTGAAACATCCATCAGCACTCGCAGAAGCTCCTCTGAGTTCTGCCACACGTCTTGCACAGAGTGAGAAATCGGTGCGAAGCTCTCCGAGTAATGAGCTGCAAAATTAGCATTATGGGTTTTAATTGTTATTAATGTCTTGTACCGGCCATTTGTTGTTTCAATGCCTGATGGCCCTCATGTGGGTGTCTTTTTTCCTTCCTTCCTTCCTTTTTGTCTCATGTCTACATTTTTCTAAACTGGCCGCTGGTGGTTGTTTCAATGGAGCTTAATTCTGGGCCACAGAACCTGCGGCATGTTAGCTCCAGAACCTGTTCCCTCCTTCTCAGTGTAGTTGTTGTGAGGATAATCATGGAGGGGGAAGCACAGTGTGTTTAACTATGCTGCCCTGGTCTTCCTTGAGGACAGCAGGGTGAAAATAAATGCATAAAATAAAAGCTCTGGAACTTGTAAGATAATAACATTTGATTCTGAGCTCACAGAGAATGACACCTTTGCGGGACAGCGCCAGCCCAGGATCTGGCAGACGTGCTGGAGGTGAGAGGTGTTTCCAGGCCCGCATGAACCATCTCCACACAGGCCTGGGAAGTGGATTGCAGCCTGCCTGCCAATTGACCAATGGCAAGACGGGCTGACTGAGGTTCCCTAATGGACCTGTCTGCATTGGATGCTGGTGGCAGGGAGGGTGGCTCTGTCCCACCACACAGGATGGAAAAATAGTAGACTGATCTGGATGCAGCTTGCAAGAAGGGACTTGTGAGAAAGCTCACATTTCACAACTATAAACAATGCCTGCTATTGTCCAGGGGTGTCATAAAAAGTAACAGCAAAAGAACTGCCTGTGTCCCAAAAAACACAAGTACTGTCCACAACCATCTTGCATACCAGAACATAATTGTGTAAGAAAGTAACAATGGAGATGTTTAGGAGCACTGTAGATTAATTTTTGGCTTTCCCATGAAGTGTGGTTTGGCTCTGCTAGAGTAGTTTGAAATTCTCTTCTTCCCTCTTCTTCCTTTCCAGAGCTCTGAATGGTGCAGATCTGCACACTTAAAATAGCAATCTTGTAAATAAGCCTGTTTAAGGCCTAGCCTGCTAAGAAGCTAGTATCTGGCATTTAGGTGCCAGCCATGGAGGAGAAGTTGTCGTTTAGTCGTGTCTGACTCTTTGTGACCCCATGGACCAGAGCACGCCAGGCACTCCTGTCTTCCACTGCCTCCCGCAGTTTCGTCAAACTCATGTTCGTAGCTTTGAGAACACTGTCCAACCATCTCGTCCTCTGTCGTCCCCTTTTCCTTGTACCCTCAATCTTTCCCAACGTCAGGGTCTTTTCCAGGGAGTCTTCTCTTCTCATGATGAGGAGAAGTACCCTCCTAATAATAATTTATTATTTATACCCTGCCCATGTGGCTGGATTTCCCAAGCAACTCTGGGCAGCTCCCAACAGATTAAAAACAGAATACAACATCAAACCTTTAAAAACTTCCCTAAACAGGGCTTCCTTCAGATGTCAGACATCTGATGGGAGGGCGTTCCACAGGGCAGGTGCCACCACCGAGAAGGCCCTCTGCCCGGTTCCCTGTAACCTCACATCTTGCAGTGAGGGAGCCGCCAGAAGACCCTGGACCTCAGTGTCCAGGCAGAACGATGGGGGGTGGAGACACTCCTTCAGATATACCGAAGGAGGCATCCCTAATGGAAACTCAGAATACTAACCTTTTCGTAGCCTAGCAAAAAAAGAGGAGAAGAGGCACCTTCTGCCAAACAGATTAGTGAGAAGTGATGGATCTGACAGACTGGCTTCCCTCCAACCTAGTATGGACACCAAACAGATGGGCAGGAAGTGGACAGGAAGATCCATCTTTTCTTCACCAAGCTGCATAGGATTCCTTGTTAAGTGCAAAGCTGCAGTAAAAAGCCCTGCTTTTGTACTATTCAAGTCATGTGTGAAGGTTGTTAATATTGGATTTTCTAAAAAAGAAAATCTAATGCACTTTCTAGCAACTAGAATCCAGCCAATGTAAGTTTTTAATGACTTTACAGAAGCTGTCAAAGCAAAAAGTGGTATGTGTCTGTAAATGCTCTAACTCAGGCTTAAACCTCTTTATTACTGGAAAGAACTCATGGAATCTTAGTTCTGCGAGGACACTCTGTTCAGAATCCTTCCTTTCCTTTCGAAACCACAATTCCCAGTGTTCTGGGTTAGGGAGATACTTTGAACCTGTGTACATTTGTAATGCTGACATTTCCTAAGGCTAGAATTCAAAGAGAAAAGTTAAGTATGCCCCTAGAGTATGGTTCATGCTCAGTATTTTGTTTGATGACCTCTCTGCATCCCCTTTGAATAGATTCTTTTCTTTCCAAAGTCCCTTCAGTTTCAAAGGGGTTTGCCATGTGACATGGGGTGGGGAGCTGTCTAATGTCCAAACACACACACCCAGAATCCCCTTGGGTGGCTAGAACTGTTTGCATGGTCCTTTGTGTCTCGGCCTTAATTGTTTGAGCTGTGTCTTAAAATATTTGCTTCAAATTCCTGAAGGGTGTTGATTTTTTAAGGCAATAAGGTCACCTTTTGTAAGCACTTGCATTGAAATATTAAGAAATGTGCTCAATAGATCTTGGGGTTTTTTTTGGTAGAGATCATCTTCATTGCTTTCTGGAGCTAAGATAGCCTTTGACATCCTTTCACTATTTCAACTTTGAAGCTAACTCACAAAATAACTTTATTCTAGTACTCAGGAAATATTCATTTTAAAGTATGGTAATTATAGGACAAAATCTTCCTCTAGTAGAATTACAGTGGTACCTTAGTTCCCGGACAGCTTAGTTGTCGAACAAATCGGCTCCTGAACACCGCAAACCCGGAAGTAAGTTTGCGAACGTTTTTTGGAAGCTGAACATCTGACGTGGCTTCCGCAGCTTCCGTTTGAGTGCACGAAGCTCCTGCAGCCAATTGGAAGCCGCGCCTTGGTTTTTGAACGGTTTCGGGAGTCGAACGGACTCCCGGAACGGATTAAGTTCAAGAACCAAGGTACCACTGTACTGGCAGCTTTCCCCTTCTCTTGTTCTCTAATCTCTGTAAGGAAAGATCCTGCAGTATCTATATATATTAAAGTGAAGCCTCTGGTTCTGATTGGTTCATGATCATTCCAACTACTCAGGAAAGAAAGATGTTTGCAGTGGAGTTTCGATGAAAGGAAGGGAAGCTTATGCAGTTGCTAAAAAAGAAGGTTGAGGACTGGAAAGAGGTACCAGAATGTAGAGAAGCTCAGAAGCATGGAGCCCAAAGACAAGGTGGTTGACTAAAGGAAGGCTGCAGCATATGCAATGGACTGTTAACAGGAAGAGGGAAGCTTGAGTGAAAGAAAAGAAAGATGAATGCTGAAGAGACCTAGAACAGAGTCAAGAAGGAGTCAATGCGAAATCTCGCAGCAGAGCTTGTGAGGGCCATTGGGGAGCTGACATCACACACATGATATCAGGATGTTGGGAAGAGCTGGGGGCGGAGCTGAATGCGGTGGTCGTGTGGGTCAATGGCTGGTGGCTCAATGGCTCCTCTTGGTGCCGCCACAGTCGGGAAGCTGCTTTGATCCTGCTTCCCCTCTGCGGCAGGAGAAGGAGGAGCAGAAGCCTCTGCGTTTTATGGATATGGAGGGGCGGACTGTAGCCCTTGCCCCCCCCCCCAGAAAAGGGCTCAGCCCCTAGGAGCCAATGCCCCTGCCTCGCAGTAGACTGTGGCTTAGCATAAACGTGTGGGCATGTGGATTCCCATATCAAAGATTGTTTTGGTCTTCTGCTCCTGTGCTTTGCTGAGTTAAGTCTTAGTATTCAAACACAGACTTGTGGTTTGGCTCTCCTGGGCAAACTACAAGTCATAATCAACCATAGAACAAGCCATTGTTATAGTTCATGGTTGGTCTGGGACATGCAAGCCCAGAGAGTTAACCAGACCAACCCATCACTTAGTGCAGCACAGCAAAGCAGCTGCAATCTCTTTGTCTGAAGACCATAAAACCGGCTTGTGCAGTTGTGCTAAGCCATGGTTTGATTTGGCTCGGCTTGGCATGGCATGCAAACCAGACCAGCATTTAAAGGCAGAAGTTGCTGTATACGGAATTCAAAATAG